GGGCTTAGCATAATTTATATCATTTAAAATTGCGATTGCTCTTGTGATGTTGTGGCTCCTCGTATGGGCGCGAAATTTCGTATTCAGCTCACATGGAATCGAGGCCGAGGCCGAGGCGACTCTTTGTGCCTCACATAACTTATTAGCGAATGACAGCAATAATTATACCAACTAAACTTTGTATTTCCGATTTCGATATAGAATTTGTACGAGGCTCGATATTTTACCAACTTAAATACGATATTAACAATTTTCGCATTTCGCAAATATTATAAAAACAATAGAATTATGCATAATTATGGATGGGTAAATGGGATGGGTAAATGGAAAAAATCACAGAAACAATATTTGGAAATGAAATGTACGAATTTTTCAAACAATAAGCATGAATTCATAGATATATTAACATGTGTGTACACTTGTAGTGTATGGAGTAATCAGCATACATATATATATATATATCCATATATATATAGATGTATGTTGACATAACATTGTATATAATATTGTAGCATATATATATAAGCTTAAATAGATACATTTATTAACAAAAGAACGTGCCCGGAATGAGTTTAAGCGATTTGAATAAATTGTTTCGCATTCTATTATAAACACAAATCGTATATGAGTCTGAGGCTGAGGCTGAGGCTGAAGCTGAAGCTGTTGATGGTGAGGCTGAAGCTGAAGCTGGAGCGGAGGCTAAGGTTGGATCTGAGGCTGGAGCTCAAAATGAAAATATAGTTTAAAATTCAGGAAAAAAAGTTAAGAATTGTGATGTGATATTGCAACAAAATGTTTATTAATATGCAAGAAAAGTTTAAGCTATGCTATCATCCAGTATACAAACATGGGAATATGATTTTTTGGAAATGATTGAGGTTTCATATTTAAAAAGTTTAATTCTCTTACGTTTTATTGCTGTTGTAATTTTTGTTGCCGTTGACAATGTTTGTGCTGGGATTTTCATTTAATTGGAAATGCAAAATTACAAATATCAACAAAATAAAAAGTTTGCAAAATAATAGAGCATATTTGTGAAAATATGTAAATTTTGTTTAAAAATAATTTTAAAAAATAAACCATAAACCATTTTAAGTGTAACAATAAACTGAATTACGTGGGATATTGTTTGGAGTATTGTGTAATTACATTATTTGAAGTATCATGAAGTTATCATCCATTATTATGAAGGAAGAAAGAATACAGTACTCGTACATAGTAATAAAAGCAACTTATAATTATTACCATTTATGTGGAATGTAGAATTTATTATATATAACACACATTGTACGGAAAAGTACTTATACGAATTATAAATATATAATCAAATAAACAAAAAATATATAAATTATATAAATTTAATATAAATAAATTTTTATATTTAAACAGAATATCGCATCGGGAATCGTGGCATATGATCAACCATCATAATACATCGGTAAGAAAGCATTGAACAGCCATCAAGAACCATAGTAAACAAAAGTCTTATCTGAGTGATAAAATATAATATTTTCACCCAGTCCTTAACCTTATATCCACTGTCCACTGTAATAGGTGCGTCTAGAAAGTTGTGGTTCCGATATATAGCCGATGGCAGTACACAAAATCTATTTCTTTGTTCCAAGGTATTAAAGTACCAAAGTCCATGACAATATGAATCTTCTAACCCAAATTGTTTGTTAAATATTGCTGTATACATAAAGTACACATATTTTTTTATTTTTTTAAATTGCAATTTATATTAGAAACATGAAAATTAATCCGGAATCATCGATATGCATCTCGAAAAATATATAGGACAATTGAAAACAAAACCTTTTATATCCACATTGTGTTTGAACAAATAATAAACTGGAGTGCAGTCAGTATTCTTTGATATAACACAAGTATTTGATCGCGTTTTGCACGATGAGCTACTTTATAAAAAACAAAATACTATATAATATATATGCGATAAAGTTTTATGTTGTCATAGACTAGTTTTTTTTTGTCTGTGTAATTTTTTCTTTAATTTTTAAAAAATATTTACATAAATTTTATTTTATTATAAAACAAAAAAAAAATGTATTTATTTTTTTTATACAAATATTTGGCACTATTTTATTCATCTGTAGTATTTCTAAATTTATTACGATCACCTCTACTATCTCAGACCAAAAAAATATACATTCGTGACTTTACAAAAAGTTAGCTGAAGTACCTTAGACCAGTGATATGGACTATATTTTATATTTAAAAAACTTAAACAATGAGATTCTGATCTCATCCGTTTTCGAATTGGAGATAATTCTGTAGGCATAAACTATTATTTTTGTATCTAAATAAAACATATTTGTTTGGGACATCTTTGCAACATTATAATCATAGAATTACACATACAGTATATGTAGGTCTTTTCAGTTTTTATTGCTTTAATTGTTATTAATAAAATGAATAAAATTTTTTTCTCTTTCACTAACAGCAATTGCTCTGACATTATTTACTTATTGTGTGGATTGTTATTTTGTTACAACTAAAGCAATTACTAAGTCTTTACTCAACAAATTAAATCTTTTAATTAAGAAACATAATAAATTTTCATCAAATTATCTCAACTTAGCTCGTTTTAATTGCTTTGTGTACATCCAGACTCGATCTGTTATTAAAACTGGTAAACAAATAGAAGACCCCTTGTAAATAATACATATAATCATTTAACACTTTCCACATCCTTCATGTTCTGCTCTTAATGAATCCTTTTTACTCGCTGATAAGTTAATCTGGTTTTCTAATTTTTTTCCTCTTTTTTGCCAGAGCAACAAACTTGCATATGCATGCATTTACATACACCGAGCTGGATTGGTGTTGGATTGGCTTTTACTTGCATTTTGTTTACGAAAGCGCATTACTTTCATTACATTTTTTATTTATTTTTAAGTATTTGTTTATTTAATTTTTTTTTATTTGGCATCTTTTAGAGATACATACGTGTATCTATGTGCAGTGAAATGTATCTGTGTGCGTTGTATGTTGGCTTGCTCCTTGTGAAACGGAAGTGAAATTGCTAACGGAATTAGCGCAACAGCGCAGCACCGACTGCAGCTGCCCATTTACGTTGGCAGAGTTGCCACCAGTTGTTGCATTCATTTCACATTTTTGCTGTCTTTTTATTTTTATTTACTCTTATTATCTATTTTCTTGGAGTATTTTTTTTTGTTATTTTTTCATGTTTTTTTTTATTTATGTTACTTATTTTCTTGATATCAAGCTTCTTTTTTTTGACTGTATTTTGTTTAGTTTTAATTTCCTGCAAGTAGCATACAAAAAAAAAAAAAAAAACAAAAAAAATTGTCACACAACATAGCGAAAAAAGGACATCTATGAAATGGCTACCATTTTAACTAGTGACGCTCATACTGGCAGGATATCTGTACACTCAATGTCTGCTTTACTTGCGTTAGACGCTTGTGTGCCTTGGTTGCTTTTACTGTTCTGCTTCTGTTCTGCTTCTGTTTTGGCTGTAGTGTCTATGTTCACGTTGCTAAGCTTGTCTTGTTGTGCAGCTGATTGTTAGCTTAAGCTGTGGACTTAGCAGAGTCGCCAGTGTGCCACGTAGCGACGATTCTAGCAGGACCAGCAGCAGCAGCAGCTGACGAACTAAAAATGTCCTGCGCTTCTTGTTGTTCTAACAATTTTCCTGCGATGAAAATTGTATTTGATGCCCAAGACAGTAAGATACCAATGCCAGTATGTTTACTATTATGCTGTGTAAATACCATGTCCAAAGCAAAAGTGGCCAACGATATTGATAAGGAAGGAAGTGAAAAATTTGTAAAACAATTAGCAAAAGTAAAAACAGAAAATAGAAGCTGGGGGCGTATAAAGCATTTTTTTTCATTTCAATCGTCAAGTAATATCAAGCCATCGAGCAAGGCAAGCCCAACATTTGTGGTATCTTTAAATTTAATAACACACAAGGAAGTTATATGTTTTAATAAAATTAAAATTAATTATTTTATGCCATTAAGTTAGAATGCCAAGCGGAATGATATTAACTGGAAACATGCTTTTAAAAAGTAAGTCCATAGCCATAGTTCCAGTTAAACCTATATCATATCAAAGCTTGGTTTTAATGTTCGTTTCGCTTAAAAAAATTGACTAAGCTGTAATTTTCTCTTTCAGACTAGCAAAAAAACACTCCTAACAACAATGCTCTTAAAATCTTCAGAGTAAGGTTTTAGGCGCAAATAATCGTAAGTCTTAATAAAACTAAATTTAAAATTATAACTTTTTTATTGTGTCAAAAACAACTACGAACGTATGTACTTGTTTCTGCGGCCCTCCAATCTGTACAGTGATTTGTGTTGGCCCGTGATCGCAGCTGGTGTGGACAGCCCTGCTATAGATGAAAACGAATTGTTGGATTGTCACTTTGCTATATATTTCTATATAATACATAAGTATGAGAACTGAGACGATTGAGTTTGAGTTTGAGTTGACGTTCTGTTCAACTCAATATGTATTGCATATAGCCGGAATTGCATATATTTGAATTTTGAAAGTATCAAAGACTAAGCACACACTAAATGAAAGTATTAAACGGACCTTAATATTATGGAAAGCTGATAATTTAGTGTGGTTAATTACAAAAGTTATATTTATTGCTATAAATGAATGCTAGCTTGCACTGTCTAATAGACCGCGAATTCTGAAAATTAGCATTTTCAGAAAATTAAATTCTTGTTCATATAACATTTTAACAAATACAATAGAAATTGAAAACTAATATAAAATAGTTTTTTATTCCATATAACATATTGGTCAGTCAAAATTATAATAAAATGCAAAGAAAATTTTTTTTGCTGAAGTTTATTTCTATTCTTCGCTTCTCTATTTAAAATAGAAATTTTTTTGAACAAGTTAAATTAATTTAATTTGAAAATTATCATGTTATCTTTGAGTTTTTTATTGAAATTTAAAAATACTTTCAAATTATAATAAATTATTTTAAGAATGTTCTTAAGTGCACTCAAGAACTAGAATCTTTTGTTGTTGCAATGTCTTTGGAGAGTTCTATGCAAGTCTTAAATCCTCCGAATGATTGGGAAACTCTGTGTTTATGTGTGATTTATCTCCTGTCCATTGCTGCCGTTATGATGCTATCGCTTGTGCTCGTCAATGTTTTAGTAAGTATAGTAAAATTTTTTTTTCTCTAGAAATTGTTTATTAACTTCTTTCTTTATTCTATCTTTATTGCAGCGTTATTGCTTCACTAAGGAAAATGAGCTTTTGTTGAGGGAGCCGGATCCTGAGTTGCGGAATCAGTTGAATTCTTTCCGCATTGTGTTGCAAAGAAATTTGTGCTCTTTCTCCCTACGCAGACGTGGCGCAATTACCTTTTCCCACGTATTCCATCATTTATGGGCTGCAGTACTTAATCGTTAATAAATTGAACTCGCAATTTATTTTCGATACATTATCAAGTTTAAGTTTTGAACAGCATTTTATCATGTTTTATTTTATTTGTTTCATTATGATTGTTATTAAGGCAGCAGTCAACCACATGAACAAAATACAATAAAATGGTATGCGAAATATATTTGCAAAGTTTTCCCTAAATATTAAAATTGAAGAAATTAGTATGTTTTTAATTATATTTAACTACTTTCAATATACATTGAATTAATAGTTGAAACCAACATTTTGTTTGTTCCAAAAATTTTGGTACTTAAGACATGAAGCTACAAATTGTATTTCGTTCTATGAAATATTGTATCAGTTACAAAGTTACGAAGTAAATTGGTCAAGTGGAATCAAGTGATTTAGCTTTATGTATATGAGAATTCAGTAAAAAAAACAACTAGTAAATTCAAAATAAAAACTATAATTAACAGGCCATAACAGCGCATTATCAGGATTTGGCCTTATGTAGTATGCTTCTTCAGGCACTTCTGCTGCGTGCGCGCTTACTGCAGTCTCACACATCAAGTCCGGTTAGTGTTGCCTCAACTTGATCATTCCATCGGAGACACGGTCTACTCTACGCCTTCTTCCTTTAATTACCGCTTAAAACACTTTTTTCGCTGGAGCATCTTCATGTATTCTCACGACATGACCAATCACATTGGATTATATATGAATGTCGTGATAAAGCTCGCACAGATTGTGCTTCATTCGGATGCGGTAGTCGTCTACAATTCGTAGAGGATCAAAGATCTTATGAAGAACCTTTTTTGTTGAAAACTACTAGCATAAGTTGTCGAGAGAGAGAGAGCTCTCGGGATCTGATCTTATTGCTTATATCGTTGTTATTTGTTATGGCAATGTCAAGGTAGATAGAGTAGTCGCCAACCACTAGCTCAGCGTTCGAGCTACGAATATTTCTATCAGTAGACGACATATACATATATTTCTTTTTAGTATAATATGTGGAAGTTAAAAAAAGACAGGAAGTTAAAATAGACTTTGTTTTAAAATCGATAAATCTTTTGGGGTTATTATGCTGTCATTATGTTATCTTACTAAAAGTTGTAGAACTGTACTTATATAATTGTTCTAGCGAGAAATCAAGATATGGAAAATTTACCTTATCTAGTTTATTGCCATCTAAAGATTGTATTGACACTAAGCTTCACTTGTCTCAAATATAACATAGACATAAAACTATGAAGAAAGACAAGATTAAGTAGACAATATAATAGTCAAGTCGTATAATCTAAGAAATTTAGAGTGTTTGTTTGTTCGTTTGAAAAGCTATAGACGCATTTTGTCAGAATTCTTACTAAATGTTTAAATAATGAACGATGTATGGGTCTTGCCTTTACAAATCGGACGGATTTTGGTAAAAAATGAACTCATCATCTCCAATGTGGCTGATAAATTTTTTATGAGCTCCTTTTATAAATTAAGAAGAACCGTATCTCGCAAAAAAATTTTAAAGCTTTTTTCCTAAGAGATATGGACCCATGAGGTTTTGAAAATTGGCATTGTAGACACAGTTTTAAACAGTCATATCTCCGGCTCCGCAAATGATAGAAACTTGAAATTGATTGCGTTTTAAAGACAATTGATTGAAAATTTAAAAAATATTTTTAATAACTAAAATTGTTTATATTTGAGTACTAATATTAAACGTTAAATTTAACATAAATTTTTTTCTCCAAATACGGAAGAATTTCCATTTTTTACATGTTATTCAGATTGTTAAATTATTATTATTTAGAATAAAATTTAATTTAATTTTCAGTATAATACATTTTTGTCTCCCTTGAAATACATTAAGCATACGCGGTTATATTTCCAATGAATGAATTTTCAAAAAATATACTACAAAAATTCTTACACATTATTTTTGATTTTGATTTGTAATAAAATTCTACATAAAACCAAAAAATTGCAGTTCTACTGATATTAACTTGTAAGTGATGAGATCAGTTTTTGTAGTATTTCATACTACATTATTACTGTAGAATATACTCAATTGTGACTGACTCCGACAATTAAACTTGGTACATGGCTGTTGTGGAGTGGAGTGATCAAGTTGAGGGAGCACTAACTGGATTTGATACACGAGACTGGAGAAGGCGCGCACGCAGCAGAGGCGCCTGGGGAGACATGCTGAAACTCAGGCCGAAACTCGGTAACGGGTTGTTATGGCCACATAAGGTAAAGGTAAGGTACTTGGCTGTTGTAAAAGTAGAATTAAAAAAACTTTTTTCGTAGTTTTGTTAAAATTTTTATTGTTTTAATTAACGGTCTATCAAAGCTCCATACTTACCGCCATAAGCTAGCATTCCATCTCAATCAAACAGTTTCCCAAAAAGTACCTAACAACTCGGTGCAAATGCACATCAGTGGTGAACGCACTATATGCTTAGAGTTATATTAAAAAACATATATGGTATGTTTGAATTTATCTTATTTCATACTCCACCATGAGTATTCGCATTTCGAAAACGCAATAAACGTTTAACTCAAACGGTGCTCATTTCTCAGTTGGCAACTAATTTGCACCATTATTCACTGCACAATTGGTTGCTTTGTTACGCTATCAGCATCCTCATATATTTTCGCAGGACATACAGCGCCATTCACCTTCCAGACCAGTTTGGTTGGAAATTTTTGAAAAGTGAATTTCGCAGGTGTTTGTCAGTTTTACTCTGCAAAGCGGAACAACTTTGGAGGAGAATACACAATATTTATATTTACGAAAAAAAAAAAATAAATAAATAAACAAAAACAACAGTTTAAACAAAAATATATATATTACAAAAAACAATATACTCGTACTGAAAAAAAGATATAGAAGTAAACGAGCAAAAGTTGGAATAAACGTGATACTTTATTTACACTTGAGCGAATTGTTGCGCATTTGCTGCAGTGCCTGAAGCTCGTAAAATTCCCAAGGAGATGCTCTTCCAGTTACTTATACACACAGTCAAGTAACTGAGACGACGGTTGCAACTAACTTTTATTCTTGTCTGCAGTTCTCCTGTAACTGAGGAGGACATTCGTATCTGTGTGGGCACATATTTGCTGGAGTGTCTACATGCTTGTTTATCTTCCTGGCCGTGTGGATTTTTGTGTCAGTTTATTTCGTTTTTAGTATGTCCATGCCAAGTGTGCCAGGATATCAGTGTGACATGCAGAGTGATTTTTTGGTAGATTGAATTACGAGCGCTTTCCTTTCCTTTGCTTTGCCTTGCTTTGCTTTACTAAAAATTATATGGGAAAGCCATTGTTGATACAGTTTGCTTTGATTTAACTATCTTACTGGTTTAACTGTTACCTTTTATTTAGGAACTGAATTGTAAGCTGATCATTACGAACCATCATTGAGAATAAAGGACACACAATAAACAGGAAATTATGGAACAATTGTTATTTATTTTTACAGTAGAAGAGATTTCAACTCTTTTGATTTTTAAAAATCTTCGGGTAGAAGATACACAAGTTGGTAGTAAAAGGCATTCAAATTTGTTATTATTAATATTTTTGATTAGTGAAAATATTTGAAAAAAGTAACCTTCAAGCTTGTGATACATACGAGTGTGTTCACAATCTCAAAACTGAGTGAAAATATGTAATACAATACTTTCACAGCATTATTTAGACAGTTTTGCTCATTAAGGTCGCTAATGTGGATAATTTACCACACAGAACATGCATATAAATGAGCTTATTATAAATAAATTAACTAATTTAAGCCCAAAAATGTTGAATGCAATCTTTGAAAATACTACTATTGACTAACAGTCGATCTAAAGTCTTAGGCACATAGGTATGTATGGACCCATGATACGTTACCTGTCGATATTTTATAATTGTCTCTGGAACCTCCGTCATTCTATTCCTTGAGCATTGCTTTGCACCAATGCTGTGATAGGAATTGTTAGCGATGCTAATATCTCCAGTGTTCACTAGTCAAATGAGCACTACTCCATATGACGACATGGAGTAATGCTTGGCCAATCCCGTGACAGCTCCTGCAATACGTATCTACCAGCTATCGATGGAGGGACATCAGAACACCTGCTGTGTCTATGTCCAGGCTTGGCCAGAACTAGGCTTAAGTTTTTGGGGGCAGATCAACTCCAAATATCGTGTAAATAAGCAATAAACTAATAGATCTAAAATTGTGAAATCTTTTAAAAAAAATAACGAAGTTTCAGTTATGAAATATTCAAATAGATGGCGCTACACATACTTATTGAACAGCTCAGTATATGTGTAGTTTTAGCATTTTGACCAGATGACCAGAACATAAAATTCTTATTTGAGTTTATTTATTTAAATTTAATATTAATTTTATTGGTGCAATTTTTTTTTAAGAAAATATTTTATTTTATTTTAAATGCTATCATCTATTAAGCTTATTGTTTTGATATGGAATTTACTAGAAATTTTATTTTTGCTCGTATTAATTTGCATAACGATGTCTTTTATGGCTTTATCTTCTTTAATGGCTTGTAAGCACTTGAATGAAAGTTATAAACTTTCAAAAATTTTATGAGATCTTAAATAAAATAAAACAAATGTTGAATTAGGTACAATATACTAAACTTTTTGTATCTTCTTTTGATGCAGAAATAAAATTTTTGTTTTTATAGAACAAACTATAAACAAATGTATTAATCGCAAAATAAAATAAATTATTGTTACAGTTTTAATAATATTTTTAATGATATATGGCAAGCAATATAAACCCAATGAAGTTATAAAGAATTTATGACCCATTGTAGAAAATCGGTGCCCCCTAGTAGAAAAATTCCACAAGATTATAAACACAAGATTATATTTCAACTATCATACTTTCCAAACTCATTTAAAGAGAATATCATGTTTGATATCTTTAAGAATATCTTATAAAAATATATTTATATGTAAATTATATATTAATTCATAGTTTTTTTATACTCTTTTAAACTTTTTTACAGTGATTGATATATACGCTATTTGAATAAATAGTTTTTAAGTTCTTAAGTTATTATGGCTAAGTAATTGGTCATATTTACTTAGTCTTAAATTTTCTGCAACATTATCTGTCTCGATTAATAAAAATGGAGCTTGCATCCAATGCGTTTCTTTTCTTTTTGGTTT